GCCCTGCGGTCCGTCCGGATGAAAGATATGTTCCCGTGCTCTTGCACCTTTCTATGGTGTGCGGGGGTTGTCCCAAAATCTATTGAAGCCGTAAAACCCAGTTTCAAGAGAGCATCTCGGAACAATTTACCTTCAGTTTGTTCTAGCTCCCCGCGTGGATATACTGGAATAACCGTGAACCCTTGTGGCCCCATTTTTTGGACAGCCCTCGAAATGTGCCAGACTTTTTCCTGTGACGAATTTATTGTAACAATGAGGCGTTGACAGAAAACTCTTACAGCGCATATTATTCTCACGATTTCCCTGGGATAACCAACCTCATGTAGTTTGCAAAATTTGCTAATTTTTTCTCACCTTTTGGGATTTAGGGATTTCCTACCCTGTGCACTCACAATTGAGCGCGGCATTCAGTCCCTCAATAAAAAAACAGCAGGACAAGGGTTTTTCCTAGTTGAGACTTGATATATATATAGTCGTACCTCGAAAATGACTTGGTGATAATTTTTTTGAGCATTTGTTCGCAACAATTATTGCTGAAAACACATGTAGACTCCACCATTCCTGGCGATCACTACTGTCCTAATCAGGACGAGCCGTTTGAAGGGATCATGTGTTGTAATGCACGGGGCCACGGGAGTTTGATCGGTCATTATTGACATGTTGCCTAAGCACACCTGTCGGTTTCATTTCTTCCGCACCTCTCCGCAACCCGTGTTTAGCTGTACCTGGAAAGTTCAGGTTTGACCTACAATGCTGCCACAGTCAAAGTTTCTACCGGCCAGTTCTTTCTCGGGAGCACCTTCACTACAGAAACCACATGGCCGACCGATTTTGTCGCCGTCCATCCTGACGGGACGGTGAGCGCTGTGCCCATTGCAAAGTAGCACATGCATTTTCAACTACCAATGCATTCAGGCGAGGACCTATGGAGAAATTTACTCAAATTCGGTCTCGCTCAGGTGATGTATTCAATTGGGAACCACAGTTACAGTAGTTGGAAGAGGGTCTTCCTCATGTATCAAGCTTCTCAGTGGTTGGTAAGTACAAGGTCCTCATTCCTGCTACGTTTGACGCTCGTTACGTAAATGCACAGAAATTTTCCAATGTTTCTGGTCACACCTATCCATGTATGGTGAACGTGACCTTTCTCACACCACTTCTTGAACTGCTGGCCCCATTCCATATGTGTCCGTCCAGCGCTTGTACGCGGGAAAAACGGCGAATGGAAAGGTGAGAATTTTTTTTCTACGTTTTTTGGGGTTTACTGCAACAAACCTGAAAGAGGTTGCTGCTACAATTCTCCCTGCCTATTACAAACCCGTCGCCTGTTGCATCTTGCCAATTTGATGTGCCATCCCCACATCACCCTTTCCTTGACGACCCTCTGAACGTTGCAATATTCCTCCCCCATCCGCATCCCCCCCTCGGTGTTTGCCATCGGGATTGGGTTATCGTCGATTGGCAAAGACGTTGTAAAACAAGCCCATTCACTTCGTGAGCTCGGCAACCAGGATACCGTTTTTTTTTACCTCTGTTTCCTTTTTTGGCGGTAAACATAATGGTGGTCGAGTAGATCATGTTTTGCGGGGTCGAAAACCCTCACTCCGCGCAAGGGGGATGATCGCACCACGCCGTGTTAAAATGATCAAGCACCCTCGAGGCAGTTACACAGATCTTGTAACTGTCTCTGGAAGTTAAAGCACCAGAAAATAAATTACGTCACACGCAGCTGTCATCCGTATGCAAGGAAGTAAGCACACGATGCCGAACACCCTTAGCAGGATGCAGCGCACCCTTCATGCGACTCGCCGAATATCTCACGGCGCTTCGCGCTTGGTGATGTGAGAGCCTGGTCCGGTGAGAACCCGGCGTGCTCCGTCCCGGCTTTGTAGGGATGCGAGGTCAATGGTCTAACGACTACGGCATGCACGACCAGGAGAATGTGTACATCCCCCCCTCATCGGGGTTGGGTTTTCGTCGCTTGGCAAAGACGTTGTAAAACAAGCCGCCCCTCGCGGTGTTTGCCATCGGGGTTGGGTTTTCGTCGCTTGGCGACGATGTTGTAAAACAAGCCCATTCACTTCGTGAGCTCATAAATCAGGTTACTGCTTTTTTTGCCTTTGGTTCGTTGTTTTTGCGGTAACCATGAATGACGGTCGATTAGATTATGTTGTGTGGGGTCGAGAACCCTGACTCCCCGCAAAGGGGATGATCGCACTACGTTGTGTCGTATTGATCAAGCACCCTCGAGGCAGTTTCACAGTGCTTACAACTGTCTCTGGAAGTAAAAGACCCAGAAAATACATTAAGTCGGACGCAGCTGCCATCCGTACGCAAGGAAGTAAGCACAAGATGCCGAACACCCTTAGCAGGATGCAGCGCACCCTTCATGCGACTCGCCGAATATCTCACGGCGCTTCGCGCTTGGTGATGTGAGAGCCTGGTCCGGTGAGAACCCGGCGTGCTCCGTCCCGGCTTTGTAGGGATGCGAGGTCAATGGTCTAACGAATACGGCATGCACGACTATGAGTACCCCCCCCCCCCCGCCCCTCATCCCTATTTCTTCCCTCATACTTGTTCCTTTTCCAAATGGACACGCGTCCTCGCCCCCCGGGCGTGAACAATGCTTGCCCTAACCACCTCCGCTACCCCCACCGCCGACCCAAGATTCGAGACTACGTTCGAGATCCCCTCGATGGGTCCCTGTGAGTCAGAAGTGCTGTTTTGAAACGTTTGCCTCTGTTGTACTGTTTTGGTGCCACTATATGGCACCGCTCGAACATCGTTGTACACCCTCGTTCAGTCTTAGCCGCTTAGGCAACCTGTTTGTTTGGTGGTCCTCCTCACAAATGGGGAGGTCTGCGACCTCGCATAGACGCGGGCAGGAAGCAACCCTGCACCACGGGTGGGCACGACAATATCATCAACATCCGTAAGCGCAAGAAATGAAACTCTGGGTCCGTTCGAGGGAGACGTTTTTTTTTTACGGTGGGCGCGTATTGATCAATGCAGAAGTCCCCTGGTTTTCTGCGGAGGTATTTTTGCTCAGGCAGGGGCATGTACGGGAGACTCCCCGGTCATTTGCTGACGGATGTTCTCTGAGGCTACTTTTGCTGCTATTCTCTGTTTGTGTGAAGGTCATCTGGGCCTGGAGATCCCCAAACGGTGGGGGACATCACCCCACGACCCCTGTGCTTCTCTCTGGAAGATTCTTGTGTATACCCCAAGCAACCGTAGGAACAGCCTGTAGTTGGACGAACAAGCCGCCATATTTACAGCAGACTGTCTGTGGGTGCAAATTCATTCTCTTGATCGTGCCCACATTCCCCACACAGAAAAAAGTTTGTGTAGGTATAGCCGATACAGACTGACTGCTATTTATTGAAACCCTCAAATTGAAACCGTCGATTTACCAGAGGCGTTTTGTTCCCGTATTTTGGGCTACCAGAGTTGAAAGAGGACCCTTTGGAGTGATTAGTCTAGACTACTCTTTCGAAAAAATTACGCACAAAGAGAAGGTACACCGGGAGCGTAGAACAGGAGAGCTACATAGCAGTAGGTGAGCTGAGAGAGAGGGATATTAAGGATTGGCCAGGTTACGAGGCCAAGAAGTTGTGTTCTTTCGAGCCCACCCACTCTTTTTCTTGCGAAGGTGAGGGAACGGAAGGGATAGAACGGGAAAATATTGTGAACGGAGTACCATTTGGGGACTTGGTCGTCTGAGGTGTCACGTACAGCAGGAAAGGTTCCCCACACCGGTAGAAGAGAGAAGTCCCGGCTGCTTTTCTTAGGGGAGAGGAAGAAACGGTAGTACTAATGGACAGAGACGCGCTAGGATAGGCGGAGAGAGTGTCTGCGGGGAATATGTCCTGTCAGTGTGGTTTCTCTCTCTACCCCTCGCGTCAAAGAAACATTAGTGCAAAAATGTCCATTCGAAAGAGAATCGACAACAACAGCTAGCTCTCCGTCGTGGGAACACAAAACGCCTGTGAGATTTATTGTCGCTGCAACAGAAGTCGAACGCTCGAATGTCGCCGACGCTCACCGAATGATTCGTGTTTTGTCGGTGGTTCATGCAAACGTTTCGAACGTCCCCGGGGGCTTCACGTATCTACTGTAGATGTATATTTTCTTCCTCTATCACCCAATAATTGCATTCATCCCCGTTGCTGTACCTCAGGGGCGAGCCGTGCACCGATGTAGATGACGTCAACCTCGCTGCCAACAGGTATGCCTAATACATCCGAAGAGGACATAGATGTTCCGGTAGGTTTCCCCCTACAGTAGTTGGACTCTCATAAAAGCATGCCGAAGATGCTTTTTTCCGTCTGTCCTACATAGGATCTGCTGTATAGCCTCTTCGCAAGTGTGGCAGCTTAAGGTTCTCTGTTCACATGTGGTGTGTCGGTTAGCTTCTGGCCATGGAGATTCTTGTGTTTGCTACAGGATAGGAGACAGAAACGATTATTGGTATGGAGACAACAAGCACAACGTCACAGCCTCTTCGCTTCAACCACCCCTCGTGGATTGTCCCTTGTTCAGGATGCTCGTGTCTCCGAACGGGATGTATCTCTATGTGAGTCATTAGGCGTTAAGACTGATGCGGCTTTATGTGCGCGGGCAAGAGTGATGTACTGCACTGAACTGTGCACGAAGGCGGGTCCAAAATAGAGTCCGATTTGGGCCTGATTCATGGTTTTGGTCACAGCACAAGAGAGCAGCGAAGTTTACTGTTCGCCCGCTTCTCAAGCCCTCTCTCTAGACTTTCGCAGCGAGCATGCAATGACTGTGACGCAGCACCCCTCGTCCAGTCTCGGAATTTTATGTAGTCACGTATTGATCCGGCCGCAAAAAATAAACGAGGGGCATTGTCGCAGTTGGACCGACTCAGCCACAAGAAGCACCGGACTGAAAACGCAATCTGTATTTCTGGTACACAAACAACTTAGCATCGCAACAGAGAAGCTAGGTCCCACTTTGCCGCGTTTCGGGTCAACAGAATGTATATCGAAGCTGGTATGTAGGAGCTCAGAGTACCAGACTCGGACTTCCGACGCGACACTGCCAACAAACACCATCCAGTCCGATCGCGTTCTGCCTACGTCCCGCTTAGCCTTCTACCCAATCTACAAGCATTCAACCTTGCTTTTCCTCACAGGTGGCGAGAGGGTCAGACGTGATAGCTTACCGAACCCACACCGAGACTCCGATTACGGCAAGTCCAACGGAGGCGCCGATAGGAGATTCCAATGAAATTTTTCCGCCAGGATTGACCTCCGCAGAGCTTTCAGGAACTGAAAGTTTGTTCGTGATAAGCTTCAACCGGACCTGCTATTGTACAGCTGGCGCTGGTGCTTCGGAGTTGTCGTTTCCGCCGGCGTTGTGCGGACAAGACTTTGAAACCGCGGCGTTCGATCAACGGTATGTCGTCCAGGGCACGTTGAATACGGAAATTAGGGTGGTTGCCACTATGGTTGACCGCGTGAAGATGCGTGGTATGGTATGATTCGTCACTCAATTGTGGGCAACATCAAAGAGTCGAGTTCACTTCTTCCTTCATCCCTGGGAAAGCCAGCGCAGTACACAATGGAATATATCTCAGCCAGGATAATGGCAAATGTCCTCGGCCTCTCCTGGCTGGTAAAAGTTCACTTGTGACGGGTCTCGCGGATTTCTGAAAACTCATTTTGAAGGTTCTTGTCCGTATAACCTGATCATTTGACCTGTCTAGCATGGTTCGCGCTGTGTCTATTGTTTTCGAACAGGTGCAACGTAACGAGTCTTCTCGACGAAAGTACGCGGGAATTCTTCGGCGAGAGCACAACAACTTGCCAGTGGTCCAATGGCAGCAAAGAAGCAGTGGTCAGCTTCAATGAATCCTCTGTTGTCATGTGGGACCCGGCACCGAATATTACGCTGGCCGGCGGGTGAGACTACATTTACTTTGGCCTAACATTAGTAATGGACAGTAAACATGATGATCGTAGACCCCCACTCTTACGCTTGTTAGATTGATGTGTTGACACAGCCGTCTTCGTCGAGTTCACAACGTGCGTTCTGTAATACGTGTACAATGGTATGCGTTAAATTGATCTCTGTTATTGGATATAGGGTTCTCTCGCTTTGTTTTCGAGTCTGGCTGTTATCCTTCGCGTGCGTATCGTAGTCCCTGTTGGTGTCTGCGTGAAGAGGAAGAACCCGGGACTGCACTGTGTTTGGGCTGGGCAGCTGCGGAAATAGAATATACGGTACGCACGAGGGTGATATTTCTTGCCTTGTTCGAACCTTGCGGATCCCCTGGACCAGGTACATTTATGGACAAACGAATTTGTCCTTGTATGAAGAACCAGCTGTATTCGCCAGTGGAACGGTTACACTTGGGTTGCGACAGGCGGCACCGGAACTCTCAGAGGTACGTTGCGTCATTTCTCTCCTTCCACCGTGCCCAGACGAAACTATCTATTTTCTGCACCATGTAGTCCGGGAGCACAGGAAGGTTCGATGTTAGGGGTCTCATGCAATCGCGCAGCTCACGGGCACATGGTCCAGTCATTGTGGACGGCGTGGTCGGCGCCTGAGAACCCCACTGGTTTGGGTTGATCAAATATCATGAAGATGGCTTCTCCTGTTAACCATGGCGATACACATTTGGGTGCCATTCTTCACTGCGGTGACACAACGAACCGCAGGCAACTTTTACAAACGACGGCTCTTCAATTGTGGTATCGTTCTCTGCCGCGGGCTCAGCATCGAGCGGCCTGGTGGACCCGAATGACACACATTCAGGCAGCGCCGGGGCTTGCGACGCTCTTTTCCACAGCACAACTCTGCTTGCGATCGGGGATGGTGCGACCTGTGAGTTTTCGAGGACAAACGCATCCTATCCACGTCCTATGTGGTGCTGGTCGTACATAAAGGGCCAAAACAACCTTCAACGAGGTCCGAGCGTGGTGCTGTTGTGCTCAGATTGGTTGAAAGTACGACGAAACCGCGCGCATGACACAGTCGCCGCCAAAGGATTTCTGAAGACCTAGCACATCAAAATGGTCACAACCTACGTGATCTGTCTTGGGAACTCTAATCGAACTACAACCAGGTGAATGGACCAGCCACAGAGAACTCACGGTATTGCTTGGGTCGGATGCATCGGTCGTGGCAGAAAGTAGTGCCGCGACTACCACAATGGTTTCGACGTCCTCTTGCACGACGGAAGAGAGTTGCATTGTCCTCAAGGATGGAGGGGTGCGTGCGGAGGCGTTTGCCATACTCTCGTCTGAGGGATCAGTCCCTGTTTTGCCCCCTGACAATCCGACCAAGGCTTTGGCCGTCCTGGTCGCGCCTCAGGTGAGTATTATGCATGTGGTCGCCACTGTCTCCCCAGGAAGTTGCACAAAACTGCATCGCCAGAAGAGGCGGTGAGAACTATCGGGTCGTCTAGGAGTTGGTGTCCTGTGGTTTCTCCAAGCAAACACTCATAGCGGCGACAGATCGGCGCAAGAGAGGCACCTAGCGCTTCACGTCATCCAGTGAGATTTTCTTTCCTCTCTGGTCAAGGAGCCTCCTGTCTGCCTGCCTTGTGTGAACTCCCAATACAGTGGGTGGGGCTCTGCGGCGAGTTTTCGCTCGACGGGCGTATGTCTTCCGGAGCTGCGTCAAGGTCGCTTTCTGCCGTCTGGAACGTTTCGACTACACTTGCCAGCGACAGTGCTGCCGTGGCGGCTGTGGCAGGAGCTCTTGAACCGTTTCAGGGATCCCTGTATGCAACCGTAAACTCAACCTCGCTCGAGCCTCTGGTGGAATTCGAAGTCTCGCTCATAGTGGAGAACTTCCTGGGTTCTGTCGACGCGGCGGCAGTCACCGTCACCAGAGTGTGAGACCGTTGTTTGGCGTTTCGTGCATACCCCAGGCAAACACTTGGAGAGTAGTCCACATGCTTGGTTGCGTTGTCGAAACGAGGTGGAGGGAATGAAGTACATGATTCTGTGGAGACTAGGCAGAACAGAACCGACCCACAAGCATGTCAATAATGTGGACGGTGCATCAAGAGGGTTACAACGTGCTTGCCATTTCCTGCCTTAATCAGTGGGTTAAACAGCGTCCGCGCTGTTTCACAATCTCGGAAAACAACGTTCGCTATATCAATATTTGTCACTGCTAATCATCAATTCCGGACTCAGCAACGAAGACGCCCCGTCAGTGGTAGTGGAGGGTCCAGCGACGAAGACAGCGATACGGAGTCGAGCAACCTCTTTGAGGATGGCTGCGACACCACCTGCCTGCGGTAAGAATCAAATAATCATCCCCTGTACAGACCTTATCCCCGCAAATTGCAATATACCCACCGGTACTTCGAGTTTGCTGTTCTTTCTTGTGAGCTCACGGCTGCTACGTGAAAGGCACAACAGTCAGGAAGTACCCTTTCATACAGACATGACCATGTCGTTTCCAAGATGGCTACATTCACATGTTTTCCCGGGGTCTTGAATACTACCTCTCCGTCGGCTTCGTATTTGCCCAACAAACCTCCGGCAGGTGATGCTTCGAGTTTATCATTCACCTGGACAGAGTCGGGCATAGACGGCTATGATGTCCTGGGCACAAGTGTGATGGAGGTACCGTGTGTACGAGGTCACACGTCTCAGACTTGGGCCGTATGTACCATGCCTGGCTAGACCAGGCCGTCCGCGGTCTATTATTAGTTGTTGGGGGCAACGGCCACCCCCTCTAACTCTTCTCATCTACAAAATCAATCAGACGTGTGACCGCTCACGCTTCTCGGAGCAATTTCGATGCATTCAAGACATGAATCTGAGCCAAATGGACCAACGTGTGCCACATCGTTCCGCTTCCCTTTGAAAAAGAATTTGGTGGGAAACGACCCCACGGCCCTCCCATTACCAGCGTACACCCTCGGCTACCCCGGGTCCGTGTACCGATTCGTCGCAACGGTATCATCGGGAACGCTAACATCGGCGGCGGTCGTGGAGGTGAAATTTCTTGTGCCACGAGCGACAATCACCGCAACATATATGATGAGCATTGTAGATTTTACAATTTCCGGGTACTACAAACAATATCTGAAGCATAGGTCTGTAATAGGCTGTTGGCGGTCGCCCGCCGCGTGGTCGAAGCGAAACGCTGAAGCCACCCCGACATCATAGCATGCAAGCGGTTACCGTAATAGCGAATGATAGCACCTGCTGATAAATATATCAAAGATTGAAAAAAGACTGCCACGTTGCCCGTCGGGATGTACGTGTACCTGAAAATGTCTTTGTGTATCTGCTGTGACACAATATGAAAACATCATTGTGTATCTGCTGTGACACAATATGAAAACATCATTGTGTATCTGCTTACCACATTATTACTGAGATTCCATGAGAACATGTCGAAAGGTGATACTCCCGATGTCCTTTTCGAAAAGTCGTTCAGTTTGATTCTGAGTGGTTGATTTTGATTCTGAGTGGTTGATTTCCAACAATTTGGCGACCAACAACAACACGAAATTGACATTGAATACCGTTCCTCGGTCAACGTCGTTCACAGATTATCGTGGGACAAGGAGCTCTGCAGGCTGCTATCAGTGGCGGTCAATACCGGCAACACACCGTGGGTAAGCAACAGCGTCGCGCAGAGCCTGTGAACGCGCCCAACTTGACCGACCGTGATATCCTGTGGTTGAGGAATATCTGGCACGACTGGCCCTTCTCTCCTACGCCTCCGGGCCGTGTTTGATGTTTCCGAACGGCCATGTTCGCCTATAGGTGCTGACCTCGTTCTGGACGGCAGCGAATCACTTGACGAGGACGATGTTCCGGAGGAGGAGTTTCCCCTCAGGTGTGTGACGTGACATACAAGAAAACCCGTCTTGGTTTGCTTGTCGGCAGGTGGTTGCAAGCGCTGGCACCTGCGGGGATGTGCACTATGTAGTTGGCACGCACGGAAACTGCTACAGCAGGACATGCCGACATGTTGATGTTGAGATACCACCGACTATCTTGAGTCTTTGCCAGAAGAAGATGCATGTAAAGAGACTTTAACGGGAGCGGGACTTGTTGAGGATGGAGACCACATACACCAACTTCCGGCCAGTTGACATCCAACACCTGGACGAGTAAAAGGCCGACACCAGGTTGTCACCGGAGGTGCTCCAACCTCGTTCTGAACTCTTCTTGCCAGAAGCCCCGCAACCAATGTAGCAAGCACGTTTCCACCCAACGCGGCGCTCAGAGGCAACGAGATGTTTGAAGAAACGATTGACACTTCCCTGTCATCAAAACAAGGAATACGAGCATGACTCTCTGGTCAACGTTGCCTCTTTGGTTACCAATTGAGTTCGGAATCCATATAAATGCGTTTGATGCGGTCCCTCGTCGAGCTCCACATTTTGCCGAGAAGCTCGCACTTGACAAACGTGGAGGTCGTGTTTGAAAGGTTCCACGCTGACACGCCCCCCTTCCATCTCGTGCCTAGTTACGTTAGCCCCAGAGTGTCGCTGGCAACTCTGTCCATCACGATGTCCAGGTACTCCTGGTCTTGCTCCAAAAATTGCTCTGGAGTGGCGGATGGGTATACTGGCTCGGACGAGGCAATCTTCACGATTCCGAGCGGGAGCTTGGAAGCAGGCTTGGTATGTCAGACATATCGCTGTGTTGCCACCGCCCTGAGCACAGAAGTAGCTCCAAAGCTGATATCCCCCAACGAATCTCAAGCCTACTGCCCCACCACCTGGATGTTCGTACCCCATCGCTGCATGATGACAGGTGTACGAGTTCTCCCTGAACATCAGCAAGGGAACGGTAGAATCTGATGTGGTCTACGGCGTCGTTCGTTCAGACTCCGCGACCGTCAAAGTTCAAGTAAGTCATGGTGATTCATCTAGGAAAGGGTCACCTTCACCTGTAGCAAGCGATTCGGACCCGGATGACTGCTGTCGCACGTTCTCCGGATGTGCACGATCTTGTGCGTTTTCAAGTCAACAGCCTGAGCACTGACGACAGTACGTAATGCACTCCACTTCGTTTTGTGGGATTTCACTTTTCACGGGAGTCTACGCCGAGAAGGCAGTGGCTTCGTCAGTGTACGTGCTCCCTACTCCTATTCTGTTGCCTGGTGGCGTCTGAAGGTCGTTTCCTTCGAGGCTCCTGAGGTGGTCGTGGCCGCTAAAAGTGATGAAGGAAAGGTGGACCCCACGCAGAAGGTCGTCATATACGGCGGCGTGGTTGAGCAGTCCACAGCAGTGGACTATTTTTGGACACAGGTGGGATGGAAGACGTTATCGACGTCAGGGTAGTGCTTGCGCTGGCACTGGCGATCCAGCTCTGATCGTGTTCCTTCGTGATTTTTTTTGCTGGCGATCGAGCAACAACAAGAATCACCAAACATGACCAGCACCAGCAAGTTGTGTTTATTCCTTCATCGTGCAACAACTAGCGCACTGCTTGCGGCGCAATATTCATTCATGGTTGTTGTCAAAGGGATCAAAGGAGAACCTGGAGGGTGAGTACGTTTAACCCCACAGTGATGCCGATGTCAATATGTCGATCACTAAAGGCGTGCTGTCTCAAAATTGTTGGACCCTTTCGATTGTGTTGGTTGTCGGGGGGTGTTGTGCAAACCCTATCCAGGTAAACGGTGACTTGGACCTCGCGACGGCGGATTGGAGTGATTTCTTCACCAGCACCCAGGCTGGGTGAGATGGCATTACGCGCGAGTAGGCGTTCGTCGAAGTGCGTGTGTTCTTCCTTTTTGGGGATGCCTAATGTACATCATTCTCACGCTGAGGAGCGCTGAAAGTCAACGGTATTAATTTGATTTCCTGGTCAAACACAGCAGTACAACGCGTGGCCCCAACGGCCGTGTGTACCCAACGTTTGTAGGCCTGAAAATATACAAAGGGTTTGCAGGATACACTCGTCGGTCCAAGGTGAGGTTTGGGGCTCTATTGAAAATGACGACCCTCACGAAACCCCACTATGTCGATTACAGGGCCAATCTTGTGATCAGACCGTACGTGCTGACGGGTGGGTCGTCCTACATGTTCCGGCTTTCAGCGGTGGATACCGCTTCCGGAGAAACAGGTAAGCAATCGAGGCGATGCACGGGGTTGCCTCGCCATAACACAGTACGGACCTCAGCTGTTCATCGTAATGCTGGAGGCGAGTTGCAACGAAAAAACCCTCACCGTAACTGATCAGCCTTCGAATCGCACCGATATTGCTGCGCGTGCGGTCATATACACCTTTCAGGCTTTGCGGAAATACATTTTGATGTGAACGCACCTCCGTCGGGGGGATACGTCCAAGCAACCCCAAGGGCAGGGGTTGCAGCCATTGACATGTTTTCTCTGGAGGCTTTGCTATGGGAAGACGACATCGAAGATCTTCCGTTGAAAGTTTCCTTCTTCTACGTCGCGGGTCAGGTCAGAACAAACACCGAAATGAATCATACTCGGGAACCAATCCAATCTATTGAAGGGGCGATCGAGAGGGTGTGCGATTTATCGCTTCCTCTTCTGCCAAACGATATTGTTGTTGGTCGTGCGCCAGAGTATTCCCGGAAAATATTGTTGCGTTTTCGGGCGGCGCGTACGAACTCCATTCGTACGTGTGTCATGCTAATCTAGACAAGGCCAAGAACATCACGGCGACGTCTAAGGCGTTGCACCACATGGTTGCCAGAATCCTGGGGGCGAACACATGCAGATGAAGTACGTGTAGACCTACAACGCAATAGCACCAATTCGACCCTCTCCAGGACGAAACGGGAACACAGCGCAGCTTGTCGCTGTATGAGGTGGAGTCTGTCGAGTGGAACGGGCCCCTGCCTGTAGGTTCGGCAGCTGACAACTACACGATGACCATCATAGGTGAGAACAAGTCGGGGATTGAACGAAGACAATTTCGGTCTGTATCTTATCACCGAATGGGGGGGATGGGACGCGAATCGAATATCCAGCGCTTTACGCCCGAACGCATTCTGCAACACGCACCGTTTCGGTCTGTGTAGTTCGTCGCCATCGAGGAGGTGGGACACTTAAATCGAGCATCCAGCACTCGTACATGCTCGAGCACAGGTTGTACGTGCCAAGTTCACGATGACATTGATTTCCCAGCGCGGCTTGGAACCGCACCCTGGCGTGACGAGTCCGAGTAGAACCTACTGACAGGCTGTGTGGTGTTCGTGTGAGCGCTTGCTATTCGCACGGACGTTTCACTGACTGTTTCGCAACTGTTTTGTGTTCCAAATTCACATCCTCTACAGGTCACATATCTGATAGTTACGGTGCCACAGAAACATCATTTTTTGATGAGTCGGGAGAGACACTGCTCGTGCGTGTGACAGGGTGGGCGGCCTCTTCGAGCGGTTTGGTGAGCCGAGCTGTGGGGGGGATTGGTGGATGGGCAAAGGGTGTTTGAGGAGGTGGGGCACGATCGTCTTTCCTATATTTGATTAATTCGATGACGCTGGACATTGAATCATGCAATTGTATGCGGTGCCTGTTCGTAAGACACAATCAAGTTCCGAGTGTGATGGCTTGTGTTTCCTGACGCACATCCTTTGTCAGTCGCTGATGAATGAATACACGGCTGCGGCTAGTGTCACGGAAGACATTCCAGGGGAAACGACATCGATTGTCAGAGCGTTTGCCTCCCTGCTCATCGTCGAGATCAACAACAGTGCCGCGGCCACACCTACTGAGGAACAAGAATTCCAGGTGTGGGCTCCTCGGGATAGATACGATGTGCATTCTTATCCGCTGAGTTCTCGAATGCATCGCATGGTGAGAACAAAACTGATTCCACCTTGTGACGATGCGGACAATTGTCTCGGCGCAGAGGCCAGATTTGAGGGGGAAAAGCGTATTCGCATGCGTGACATGTTCGACGTCATGGGTGGACTAGTGAGAGACTCGGCTTTAGTCGTTATCACAGTTATTATCGGGGTCGACACTTTGGAGGAAACGTGTAGACGAAAAACAGAACACCCTGTGTGACCATCCTCCTGTGTGACCCAACTGATACATCCAGAGAAGCACCGCAGTTAGTGTATGCTGATGTCCAGATGGGACGATACAGACGCAGTCTCAGGAGACCATGATGGAAACGCACCTACGCAACAGCGAATTCTCGCTTTCTTACCGATCATTTAGCGGCGTTACTTTCCGGGCATAGACCAGAACAAGAAAAAGACTTTGTGCATTGCTGTAAACCAGGTACGGGCTCCAACGCGATATTGTATTGTGCGGAGTGTCAACCTTTACTGTTGTAGTGGTGCCGACACCAATTGAAGGAGGAACGTTTTGGCTGTGCAAGGACTACTCTTCTCGGCATGAACATTTCCATCATCCGCAGTCGTCGATAGCTGCGTTGCTCATGCGACTAGGTAAACAACAATAACTTTGGGTGGACATGGCGTAAAAATATGGAGTCTTTGCCTCCCAGGGGGTCCCCGTTTTGCGAGCTATGTGCAAATATATACCCTTGGTACAAGGATTTTCTTGCTAACACGCCGGGTATTTCTTGTACAACCACCCATATCCACGTTGTTCCCTTGGCAGACCTTCGTAGCTACCATGATTAATGCAACCGTGCGCGAGTCCACCGTGTTGGACTACTCGACGACAATGGCCGGCGCAATACTAGACACGATGGTGGTTTTGTCGAGCAGCGAAAAGGCGTTGAACACGGATTCGCAGGTGCGCGGTATTGGATGTCGCGGGTGGTATTGCGGGCTTCGAGGGTGGAACATGGGCTAGGCAGGTGCATGGTTGTAAATATATTGATTGATGTGAAGGGATAGCTTCATGGAGGTCGGTCATCATCACACTGAGATCGCTGAAATTGGTGCGTACCCTCAGGCGGCCATACTGGCGTCTTCAGCGTCCATCCTGATCACAGCAGCCGGGGAAGGCTACTGGGACTCGGGCATGTACACCCCTACGGTCGAGGTGTTGGACCAAGTGATAGGGGCGTACGACGCGTCTTCAGACACCATTGTCGGGAGCGGCGTAATGGGCCAAGATGCCGCGTCAAAGTGAGCATCGAAGTTTATCTTCGACTTTCCTGTGAAAACGCCTAGATCCTTGACCAATAACAACAATATCGAGGAAGAGAGTGCAAAATAAATTGACCTCAGACTGGTCACGGGATCATGACGATGCTGCGTTGTTTGTGTCGCCCGATTCAACTCAAAGTTTGAGGGCCATCGTGCAGTCGATGGTACTCCTCATGGAGGCCGGAATGGAAGACGGCGAAGGTGTGATGACGATCGAAAGTGAATACGTGCAAGCGAGCTGTCTCGTCACTTCAAGCACGGGGAGCCTGAGTTTCGCCACCGGTGAGAGCCTGTAGTTGGCAACCATTGAATTCCCACATGGAACACTTGCTCGTTGAACATGAAGGATCGAACCGCTTGGCCGTTGCTTTTCAATACCGATTTGTGTCGCTCCAAATGAGAACAATATGCAGTTTACATGTACCGTTCCAGCACATGCTTTCTTCGCTACACCATCTTGAAAGGAACATCATCGGTGTCGTTCGAAGACGGCGTTATTGCTTCTCCATCATCGCCATCAACGAGGAGGCGGATGACACCTGAAATTGACGGGGGCTCGAAGTGCAAATCGGGCGGATGTGCCCGATCGACAAGACGTATGCCAAAATCATCCTCTCGTCGACTGAATAGTGTGTCCTTGACATCTACGTCAACGGTGGTGGTCACCAACCAGCTCTTCAATGCCAATGACCGACCGTCGGCTCTCGTCAACGGGGGTGTCACGCAGATCAAAGTTTCGAGTACCAGTGACGGAGAGGTAGGTTGAGTCAGTACATGGTAAGATCGAAAGGTAGTACTTGTTTGTTCCGTGGTGGAGTGTTCTTTCAATGTCGTAGGCAGTTGACCTATCCGAATTTCCGTATCGCTCAGGGACGTAACGCCCGTTTCGTCGCGGGATTACACAATGCTCGAATCAAGCTGGTATGGTTCCGTCCCGGGGTAAACAACGTACCCTTGAAGCACCCCGACCCCATACATCTGTGGCAGGACCCTCAGTTGGTTCCTTCAACAAGCTGAACTGTCTACAGTATAGCCTACGGCACAAGTAATCATACCCGAAGATCAAATATTCGGTCGAAAACTACAGCCATTGTAAGTTGCCGAGGTTTCCCGTGCACACCGTAAGAAGGGGACAGTGCATACCACCAGGGTTTCACCACCAGTCCCCTGGCCCTCATTCTTGGCCTGCCTGTTTGTCGATAATGTCCACACTTCAGGACATCGCGTTGGCAGGCCCGGTACAGCTGACAATGAGGGCCTCAATGGCATCGACTGCTCAACTCCCGTCGTGCTTATACTACAACGAGGAAACCGGCCGCTGGGATTCAGAGGGCCTCGCTATTGGCGCAGTTGCGGTCCCGACCAACGCGGGAGACAGCGCAGTGGATGTCCTCGTGTCCTGTGTGACGTTTCACCTGTCGGACTTCGGTGTGGCAACCACGGAAATCGAGCCCGTCTTCCAGCCGGTGACACTGGTGAGCGTCGCCTTGGCGGTTTGCATGGTGTTCACGCTCGTGACTTCGATTCAACATTTTCCACGTTGTCTTGCAGAAAATATTGGTGGTTGGCATATGTGTAACGAGTACAGCGTGTCGGAGCTAGTATTGCCCCTGTAGCATCGCCTATTCGGCACCCCGACCATGGTGTGCTGCGCCTGAGCTCATACCTTTCCCAGGAGCACGTATAGGGTACAAATACATCGACCACTCATCAGTGGTAGACAAACCAATCATAGACTGTTCCCACAATGATGCATCCCTACCCCTGGGCATGGTTTTGGTCAGGAGGCAGGCCTCAGTGTCGTCAGGGGAAAGGACATCACCGTGTGGGGATTTGTGCTGACGGTAGGTGCTCTGATTCTTTTGGGCATCGTCTGGAGCGTCTCGAGGATGGCAGATCATCGTTCGAAAACGGCAGAAATGCTTCAGACAAGAGCCTACGACCACTACATCGAAACGGGACATGTGAGTGTTGAGAAACAACTCTACGTAGGCCTCTCAGAAGTACCACAACATACCATTCCGAAGTTGTTGGCCAAGTCCACAACTGGCTCTGAGCGCGACAGATGTCTGCCGGCGTAAATAATCCCCGCCACGATCTTGCATGTGATTGGTCGCACATGCAGAGTATACAACTCACCGGGGCGGGCGAAGACGCCAAGCCTGCTTACACTCCGCTGTGTTCTATGTAACCTGTTGAGGTGTAACCTCGTCCGTCACAGTGTTTGGGTTCAACTTGGGCATAAGTTCATTTCGATGACTCTTTCCGCACCAGCCCCAGCGACTACCGACTTTGGAAGACATCAAGGACTTGAGACAGACGCTAGAGAAGAAGCACAGGAAAAGGCGGAAAAAACGGGACGAGTCATTTGTAAGATACCTGAGGCGGAAGACATTCCAACGGTGAGACTACATTGTTCAATAGTGTGTCACGATGTAGTGTTGCGGATGCCGTTAACCCCGCCTTACGCTACTTCACGATCGGTAGAACGTGGGGAAAGTGCGTCTGAATGAGCTTTCTGGGGAAGACCTTGCGTAGTTTTCATGCGTCGATTTCAGCGGCGTGAAGGAAGTCTACTTGCTTGTTTCACTGATGTGATATACAAGGGCCGAGAATGCTTCCGGTGACGCGAACAACACTGTTTAGATTTCTTTCTGGGAAAGGCGGCCAGGTGTCAGCAACAGACTATCGTGCGCGCCGGAGCTTCGCTAGTAAGGGTGCATGAATAGGAATACAAAAGTCACCCCGGCCAAGTGATACACGACTCATCACTTTTACTTAATAATGTCGTTCTCTTCAATTCTCCTCAGATTTCGGTCTTGGCTTCAATTGATGTGGGCACTGCTAAAGCATGTGCTCTTCTTCCACCCTTGGGCTGGGATAATTGCTCCGTCTGGAACTCATTTAACTCTCACCAGGGCGCAGGTGGGAATAGTGACCGTACCGACAAATGACTGCTTTACGCTCTAAGCGCGCCATTGAGTACCTCTGCGTTCTCATGGGTCTCGCAGTACCGTAGTGGTCACGGTCAGAGTTGCGGATGCTACGAGGGGGCCACCATTGCCCCAGATACTATCACCCAACTCTGCAGCACTTACAAGGAAAGATGCAGCTAGAGTTCTACATAAACGCGACTTGCTCTTTGCAATGGGTACGACACCATGTACAGTACAATAATGGGCACAAGTGTGCTGTACAAGACCGACATCGTGAATGATGCACCATCGCTTCACGCTCCCTCACGCCGCGCACGCAGACCGGACGCTTAGGTTGCATCGATATCATACCCTTCTTTGTTTGGTTTGGCAGCTATCGTTAGTGATATTCACACAAGTGATGGTCATCATGATGCTCTCCGCTGCCGTGTCGGGAAACGCCACAAGCCCGAAGGTTGAATACGCTCAAATTTTGGCCAGGTGAGATGCGGAAATGCTGTTTGCCGCGCACCAGCTGTTGTCGAAACCGTCTTATTTCACGTGCCTTGCCAATGGCTGTGACCTCGGGATAATCTACAGTAGCCCTGGGTGGGCTGCACTGTGTGTTCTAAACCTGCAGACCACCGTATGGCTCATATGCAATACAATATCATTGACATGCTCTGCGGATCCTGCGTGCATGCTTCAAATAGTTCTGGAAAAGGTTCTCTTGTAAAATCAGGGATAGAAACGAATTCGAATTCGGCACGAAAATCACCAGTCTCAGGGCTGGAGGCCTCACCCAAAAATCCAATACATGTACTTATGTAGGTTAAATGGTCCGAGGCCAAGAGCAATAACACAGTAGGAACAGGTTGTTCGCATCATGCCGACATCACTGCAGCCGATGTGGATCGTGAGAGCAATGACGCCTTGCTTGTTCAACCGCTTTCTACCAACACTTTGTTCTCCCAGCTTAGCGGCGACGCTACCGGCCTCGATTATCGTTCCACGGGCGTTTGCTGCCTCGGCCACACCACCTCCTTCGGTCACCGCGAAACGCAATTGGTTGCAGGTGGGATAGCGTCGGCTAGAGCTTTGTGTTGGAAGCGTGCATATTTCTCGGTCGGCTGCTGACAGTTTTCGACAGGCGAAGAAAAGCTTATTGAACCTGTAAATTCAAACCGAATCTCCCCGTAAATACTATTACCGTGAACACCGCTTATCTTACAACTACCTGTGACCACGCCTACATACATGTAGGTGGTCGCGGACACGAAAGGTAGATCCCAAGCTTCGAAGTCAACCTCATCATCGGAATACGGCTGCAAGTCAAGGTATGTGACGATTCGCGAAAACATCAATAATACGTCACACAGTATATTTAGTGGACCATGACTGGTTTTAGAACGACGCAGGCTCGTGATGGCGGCAGGTTTCAACTTTCAGGAAGCTTAATGTGGATCTTGTCTAGTCTATGCCAGACTCGTCACCAACCGTTGGCCAGTTCGACCTCAACCCCTCGCTCTAGCCCACATCCTTGTCTCTCATTTCACCACCACACAACGTTGTATTTGGCTGATGGTCGCTGTCAGAGTTCCTTCCGGCGTCGTCGGGTACATGCACGTGGGTTCATGTTGCCAGTATCGCAGGCAACCCTACAGTGAGACCGGCGGTAACCGTGAGGCTTTGCTTCAAATGTGCAACGTTTCTGCCAGAGAACGCCTGATTATCTCACACATCAACATGACTGCAGTCGAGAAGCGTGTACGGGATAACTACGGAAGCCGTGTAGAAACGCAGAGAACATGTTTCGCCTTCTGTTCACATTTTCCCATTATCATCGTCGTTCCAGATCATACCAAAACATTTGTCTCATATCATCGTCGTTCCAGATCATACCAAAACATTTGCTTGCGTGTTTGTTTTTCTTTGCGGCTTCGTCCATGTGACGCTTGTTCTTTGCCACTGTCCCTTGCATGTGGCAATTATTCGATGTAGATGGGTGCGCGAGTCAAATTACTTTCTGGCAGCAGTGTACTTGGTGGTTGCAAGGATAAGGGAAAGCATTCCGCGCGGCAGGGTTTCACCTCCTCGGGACCCTGATATCGGGGACGTCCTTGCTCGGGGAACGTGAGTCAAACGCAGCATTCGGACACTTCATCCGCGGCTTGAATCAATGCAGATTGTTTGACTGCCCTTGGGGAAGGTCTGCCGTTGCGTGTTCCTTGTTTGCCTCGCTTGCCCCTCGCGGCCGGTTGAACGTTGACCTGCAAAATGTTGCGATTCCTCGACAGCGGTCATTCGGACTCTCTCAGCTAATGTTCACGCTGCTGACATGCTGACCGAGATCTCCGCCTCAGACTGGCTTTGCAAAAGGGCAATGATGCACCGTCTGACGATGTCCAAACGCGTGTTTGCCCCACACTATCCTGCAGCGGGATACTGCTGGCAGCACTGGTCCAGCTTGTGCTCAACATCGTGTGTGGCTGTTTTTGCTTTGCCATCGGTGCGGACCACGCCCTGGACAAAGCATTGAGCGCCACCATGGTCGGAAGCCATGTTCAGAGCTTTCTGTTTTTAGGTGAGGATGCGGGGTTCATTGATGACGAACGAAGCCTGTTTTTTGGACAGCAATCTTGATTTCAGAATCTATGTAGACGTCAGGGTCGTTGCTTGTTGTGTTGAAATAGCCCGGCTATCTCTCTGACAGACAACGCGGTGAAGGAGAGTTGGTTGGTTTTCCAGAACTCAATCTCTCCCTTGAATTATTTGTGCAGATGCATTCTTCTCGAACAAGGCGACCATGTTCACATTGTTGAGCTACAAGGCAGTCTTCAACCTTGTCTTCGTAAGCCTGGCGCTCACTACACTGCAGCTGGTACTGGCATTTTATGGCATGCAGATGGCAGGGACGGGCTTTGGACTGTACCTATCGGTGTTCATCATCTCCCTGATCAAGCTCATAGTGTGCCAAATGGTGAGTGTTGATGTGACCCTGTTGGTACATCAATGAGGAAGACGATGATACCCTTTCTAGCTACATACAGAACGAGTGGGTTGGTACATCATTTACGAAACATCCTCGGGTGCAATGGGTACATACCCAGCACGATTTTTTGGAAAAGAACGAATGGCATGGAATCTGTCATGGTAAAACAACATATTCGCACGATTGAGAGCGAAGTATCTGATTGAGAGCGAGATCGTGCGATACGATGTAGCTTGTCTACTGCTGAGAGGTAGAGCTTGCTAATTGAAGGGCTTGCCCATAGCTACAAGCAGATACCCGGGTCATCCTGCGGGTGTCTCGCGTTGTGGAGCTACACCGCGGAGCAGAAGCTACGGGAGGGCCTACCGTGCCAGGCGACGGTGCCCTGAAACAGTTTCGGGCAGGAATAGCCAATCTGGGGAAATCTAGCAACGTGCGTAGCTCCTCGCTGCTGCAGCCGATCGCAGTGACACGCATATGCACGCGAAGCTGCTGAAGAGCGCTTCAATTTGCGCCGCTTTTTGGAAGAGCCCGTCCCCTGCTTCCCGAGAAATGACGGGAGGCATCTGGACCCGAATTTCGATTTTTTTTGGTTCTCGCTCTCAATCGGAAACTTCGCTCTCAATCGTGCGAAAACCCTGTCGTAACTAAAATGTTCTTCGTTGGAGGTGATCTGTTACATCTAAACGGGCGTCTGGAATGTAGTGCTTTGGGCATGCTCCTCTCCCCCCGAAACCGTAATATGGAATCCGCGTGGTGACTATGCCACCATTGTGCACCCGTGCATGCTCTTCCCCATCGACGACCTACACTTGTGATGAACGCCACCATCGTGTCCCAATTCCTGAACCTTGTCCCCACGACCGTTTCCCATCGCCTTCAAGGGAGAGCTGATGCCTGCCATGGACGCCATCAACGAACACACCATGACTCAGGTGCCCAAACTGCAGTACCTTGCTGACGCTTTACAGGCAAAAAAAAGTGTCGTCTTCATTGTAACACTTCATGTCCGCGACGGGGGGGTGGAGTGTGGACGTTGGAACCCTAGCAATATCTTGCTACAGGCAGTAAAACGTGTCGCCGTCATCCTATCGTAGCATGTGATGTGACGAGCATAACCGAACGTAGGCGAGCAAACATTTGTTTGCCGGTGCCAGAGTTTGAGTGACATCCAATAGCCTTGGTAGTCCTACTCGGTGTGCTTGTTCCATATGGGGTGCGAAAAATAAATACTTTTCACTAGATGACTTTCACTCGCGACATACCTTCATGTTCGTTGTGGTCTTGTCCATGTTACACCGAAACCGATACCCCACTATCGATTGTCGCTTGGATCTCATCTAGGTATGCCGACCTGTGCCCGCACAAGAAGCTGTTGAGGTGTTGGGTTTGTTCGTGGGTCTGCGAACATTGATGTTGGATACATGTGCTGGATGATTTGGTGTCACGCAGACTGGTAAGATTGCCGTTTGGTAGGGGGCACCGCGATGATTCACGGGGCCCCTCCTTGCTGTTCGAGCCGCTGATTGAGCACTCCCTCTTTCGTCCGTGTGAAGGACGGTCGTGTACCTCTCGTGAAGTTAATACATCACCAAATCTCACGCGATAAATAAGTGGCGTAGGCCGCAAACAATGTTGCGCGTGCCTGCTGATGTGACGAGAATGGTAACCTGCTATGGCACCTGCCAACGCAACGACAACAACATGCGCTTATAGAATCCACCCTGTGAGCTAAATGACTGCTTCGATAAAACTCACCACCATACGTATGTGCTGTATGTACTGTCTGTTTTTAGCGCGAGAAAATTGTAGCGCACGCGACAGATGTTCGACATCGTCAGCAAACGTCACAGGTGAATGAGATGTATCACTACACGACCCTCGCCCTGTCCCATATTCCTAACCTACACTGCGAATCTGTAATATTGTATCGGCGCAGTCGTATAAGCGGCCACGTCAAGAACCGCTCCCATGTGCCTGACGGGAATTCCCTTCGGTTTCTGCCACCGCAGATGTCCTTCAAGAAAAAATACAGCCGTCGAAGCGGCCGACGGCGAAGCAGTTCCTTCAACAACAGCACCGAAACACGAATGCTCGCCCAAGAAGCGGCGGCGGTAGTTATCCAAGCTCGCGTGCGCGGGTTCCTTCACAACAAGAGGTGGGTGTGCAAGGCTTGGTGCGTGTAGACACAGGCAAGCTTCGCCGGCCGATCCCATCAGTAACTGAGGACGTCACCTCGATTCTTCCCACCCGTGGTAACAGGCGGTGTCGCAGCTCGCCGTCAACGTCGGTATTATTACGAGTATTTCGTTTGTGCTTCAATGAAACTAACCCGAATGGCCCGCATGAACGCTGTAATACATACTACCATGGAATGGAACATTAGTGTGGTTCTGGCGACGAGTCTTGAAGGTTCGGCCGCGCCCTCGCCCTTTCCGACTCCGATGTTTGGAACCCCCGTGTACAGATCGATTCGCCGCAAAGAGGTCCTAGCCTGGCAAACATACCAAGTCCAAGGCATCAGGCGCAAGCTCACTGCCGGTACATATCTCTTTTTGGCAACCTACACGGTCGTTGTGGTCTATATCAACCTTTGCTACGTGATGACGTACGACAATCCTACCGCGTGGTGAGTGCTATATCTCGGCTCAAAATCAAGTGCGATGCTCGACACATTGTTGGGGGACCATCGAATCATTTTCCAGACGCGAGCTTCAACCCCGCTGAGCCTCTTGCATTCTTGGTACAATAACATAGTCTAAGAAGGTCCAGTAAAAAGAAACGAAAAAAATACGTAGGTACGTCGTCAGTACAATCAGCCGCAGGGATGCACCCATGTTCTTTAGCGTGCACATGTCCTGCTGTCGTACGAATGTTGACGGTTGACTACATCGTGTACTACACGATAGTACCCGGCGCATTTTCCTACAGAGAGAGCCCAACAGAACCCAAATGTATCGAGGCATGCCTACTCGATGGCTGTAGGTTCTATGCAAAGTCTAGCCTACTGCTGTAGTCTTCTCCCCATATGTGCACAGTAGCAAGTGTAGGCCGTCTCGCTCTTGAACTCGAAAAAAACGGATCGCTTGCTTTCTTGCTCGTGCAGGCGCTGGGCTGCCGCGAGCTTCCTGACGGTGTTCATTGACGTGATACTTCGGAAGCCCCTGTCAGTTCTGGCGGCGTCCGCTTTACACACAACCCGGCGTTTGCTTAGCGCTCCGCACCGGAATTTCATGGACAAGAGCAACTAGCCTTCACTAGTGAGACACGCATATCAAGCTGCAACTGCCACGCGGTAGTATGTCACCATCACTGCGGCAGTTAAAGTGTCCTCCTCGAAAAAGTCACACCTCCCCTTGGTGGGAATTGAAAATAGGCGCGGCCCTACCATGAAAACGTCGAGAGTTTGGTGAGAGTGACTGCATAATTGGGTTTGTACGGCGACAAGCCGAAAAACATCCTACAGTACACATGATAAGTAGTACGAAGAAGGCAACAAGAACATCAGCGCGGGGGGGGTAGACTTTGGTAAATGGCATGAAACATGACCAAACCAAAGTAAGGGTGTACAGTGGTCTGGCGGGGAGCGGTGCCGAAACATGGCAACCCAGAATGTCCATGACAATTGCCGAATATTCCTGTGTTTTGACGGAATCAATCTTTGGGAGAAGGTGCGGTTGGAGCCGTACAGCACGTTAACAACGTCACCGTTGAGTTGTGCATGGGTGGATCTGTTTAGAAAGGTGCAAGAGGAGGTGGGGATCACGAAACTCAGGAGGCCGACGACCCCCGACGCTCACCACATGGAGTGGGCCGGGCGATTGTTGGTGTGCGATCGTCACCGTTCAGATTGTGTGGTGTGAGTGCTTCTGTTGAGTTTCGGGTCCTCACTTATAGGAGGGCAGGCTGTAATGAAGGGGCTGGGAGACAGACTGGCACCGCTGGTTGTCCCTTTTTCTACCATGTGCATAGCGTTGACGCAGCCGGCCTTGGAAATAAATTATGTTTGAGAGAACGATTTTGGGAATGTTTCTCATGGTTCATGCTGTTAGGAAAACGAGTTTGGCGGGGAGGGGGATCAACGCTGTTGTTGAGCTGTGTTTCCTGCACCGATCCGACCAACGGTCCTACCTAACCGAACATGAAAACCGACTGCTGCTTTCTGCACAGCTTTCGCTATGAAGACGTCTTGTTTGCAGAACGATGCGTCCCACGTGGCAAGGTGTCCAGCCATAAAGAATAGGCTGTAGAATGCATCGACATTTTCGTCATCATAACGTGCTGCTAGTTTTCGTCCAAAGATCCGTCGCCCCCACGCCTTCATTCCGAAAATTACGAACCGCAAGGCCAAAGTGCTAGAGGACGCACCAAGCTGCGTGCAAAGGCGTTTAGCTCATTCGACGGAAGCAACGATGGAAAGTGCGGGCAAGGCAGGACACGGCAGGGCATACTAGTTACATAGAAGGTTAACCTTCGTTCCAAGACCGCCAAGGACAAAGGCTGGAGTCCGGCCCAACAGATAAGATTGAGGCTCCTCCTGGCAACCCGAAATCGACGTTTTGGGGGGCCGACACGGCAATATGGGTAGCAACCACCAAGCGGCATAGATCCCTAACATGTACGCCGTCGAAATACGGAGCAACCCAGAGGACACTTGATTGTTCGCAAATTGGTGCAGGAACAGTCACGAACTACATCCCCCTGTTTGACGTTACGTGCCCGGGGTAGAACCGGAAAGCATCGTTCTACCGGTTGTCATAGCCCTACTGTGTAACCACGAGCAGTATAGACAATAACACTCCAAACACGTACAGGGGCTTGACCGCGAAAAGGGGTTGGTCGGTCTTGAACTGCAAACCAGATCATCCAGGAGAATGATAAAATGGAGGAAACACAGACTATGTCATACCCGTTGCAGGCCCCAACTCCCGACAAAAGTAGCTACACAAGAAACTGACTGTTGTGTTCCCAGATAGGGCTATGAGAAAGGCACCAACCTCGTGAGGGGATCGAATACACACCGAGTACTTGCAATCTGTCTACTGTTTCGAACACGTGGTAGCCACCACCGCCCCGAGCTCCTTGCAGCTGCAGCCAGATAGGCAGCCACGTGGAACCGTGTCGTCCTCTTCCATCGCGGGCGACTCGAGGCCGAAGCTCAGGCGGCACTCGTACGTGTCGAAGTCTGGCTCCATCGCCATCGCCAGGCCCAGCGTCTCCTCGAAAAAACGTTCGGTCGGGATCTTGCACATGTTTGTGCACAACCCCTGACCCCATCGCACGTAAGACGTGGCACACGAGAGGAATGTTAAATACTTGGGGTCTGTTCGCCAAGAGTAACACAGGCCGGGGGCAACTAGCAGGGAGATTTCAACCCATCATGCTACTGAGTTACGGGGAGCCCTAACCCTGACACCCTCGCAACACATTACGACGAAAAGCCGCCGACTTGCATGTTAGAGAGCGAGAAAGGTGCGGGCGCAGTGTAGCGGGTGATAGCATCTTGAGAAACAGTCTGCTCATGCTTGCTGGCAGTGAAACGCCTCAACAGTCAGGCTACGAGGAAAGAAGTACTACAAAACCGTGGCTGGACGTGAATGTTGGCAATGAACAATTGCCCGCATTGTAAGGCCCCCCAGGTGACACGCCATGGCCCGTGCGCAAGCGATAAGTTTTGCGGGGTGGGGGAGCTACAGCGGCTATAAGGCAGGCACAAACCAAGAGCGGCATCACCAGTAACACGCTAACACGACTCACCTTGCAATTGGTCTCCTCCAAAAATCGACACCTTTCCACGAACACACCACCTGGGGTGTTATCCTTTCGCGTGTCAAGCTTGTTCGGACCGACGAGAAACTCCAGAAAAAATACGGCCAGGGACGCCAGGAGGAAACAAAGAAAATAGCACACAGTCGATTAGGGGAGGCCAAAGCAGAGGATGACATCACGCGGTACTGCCTTTCGTACGTCAAAGAACAGCAGGAACTAATTCTAGAAAAACATAAGGCTACAGCACACCGTCAACTCGCTTGTTGATTCACATCCGTGGATCATAATACCGAAGGACATCACACATCTAGACCCTGAAATTTAGCAAACAGCAAAATACAGTCGTAAGCATCTACTGTACAACAAATGTTCTCAACGAGGCACCCTTTGGCGTGCATGCCTGGGAAAGAAACTCCGTCATTGCAACAGCCAAGTACGTACCAAACCAAACATTCCAAGAGGGGCGCGTAGCGAGTACCTTGAAAAAGGAAGGTGTGAAAAACGCTGTCAGGAAAGGTGCCCACGGCCATGGTGCCATGAACAGTTTGTACACGGGGGGAACAGCGGGGCCGGCGATAGTGGTCAGAACTCGAACGACCATGTCTTGCTGATCTTCCACTGAGGCGCCCTGGCGTTTTACCATGCACAATGCGGCACGGGGTCGGGAAGGGGTGTGAGAGGATGCGGCGTGCAAGCTCGTGGGAGTTGTTAACGAGAACAACAGCACTGCAAAAAGTACTACGCACAAACAACATGCAGAAGGCACGAAGGAGCCGGAGAACGGGCTGTTGCCGAGTGAATCGGGAAACGCATTCGCAAAGCGGCTGCTAGGCCGCAAGGACGCCTCTGCCATTCCCACAGGTAGGTACCAGACGGGCAAGAGCCGATTCTTAAGCAATTCCCTCAAGCTCATGCGGCCGCAGCAAAATCAAGTGATGGTGCGCATGCAAGACCGAAGGAAATATGTGCACATATAATGTAGCGCCGTCGTTCAAGTGGGTCGTCGAAAAAAAATGACGACAAATCAACCCTTGGACCCTGCCGTCAATGATGACACTGCTAGTCATGAGAACTTAATTCGCTCTCCACGCCATCGCACACATAGGCCACACCTGCGGGAACCTCGTGGCGAAACGGTGACACCGGCTTTCCTGTTTGAAGGCCATTCGGTTCATCGACAGTCGCGGAATACCCATATTTCTGCATAAGAACCAGTACACGACTGCTGTGACTGTGCGCGGCTTGGGCAAACATGCAGAAAATGTGGGCACCCGCCGCCCAACCCCACCACAAGGAATTGTCTTTCAACAAGCCCGTCGAAGTCGCCCTCGGGTAGGTGGCTATCCTATGATTGCAGTGCGCATATATTACCAAACGAGGATCAAACTTGCCTGTATCACCATGTAGTTTTGGGCCTCGTCGATGAGGCCCGCATAGCCAGGCTTCTCCGACTTGTACCCGATCTCTTTCTGAACGAGATTCCGGAACAGCGCTAGCGCAACCTTCAGTACAAAGGGAGGTCCAACACCAAGCACATAACCATGGAGGGTAATGGTTGACGTGACTTAGTTTTAGACCAAATGTCAAGGGATACAGGAGGCACATGTGGTGGGCAAGTTCGAATGGGGCAAGGCATGCTTCGTGCTTACCCGCACTTTCAAGAAAAAAATCCTGTGTAAACGAACTTGAGCAACCCCGCAGTATGTTGAGTGTGTTTCTGTATTACCTTCCAAACTATTTTGGTGCCAGTGGACACCGTTCGGTTATTGCTTGGCGTAGCAACTGCGATAGAAGGAAACGCAGGGACGACGTGGTTTCTTGTTGTCCCTCCTTTCGTCTGCGGCGGCTGCCTTCGCAATAACGCGAAAAGGCAACCTTCCCTTATGTTACCGTGCATACTCATAAAAAATATCGTTTTCCACCGCAGTTTTGCTAATGCTTCACTCCCGAGAGAGATTCGAACCCACATCCTGCAAAGAGTAGATTTGCGACGTAACCCACACCACCATCGGTTCACTGCGCGGATGCAAACAGCCGGAAGACACTTGGTAGACATGGTGTCCAAAGGGGATCCAGGTGTGCGACGAGAATCCGAAGTTGAAGACAAGACGGGGGGTTGCACCGTTACAAGCAAGCAGTACCAGCGAGCAGCACGGGTTGAAAAGGGGATGCACAAGGCGGCCGACTCGTATGTCGGTGCCTGCATGTGTCTTACCTTGTCAAGCACACTCTCGCTGTAGAAATCCGCCGCCAGCGGCGGTCGCAGCTGTGGAACTCCTTCCTGCCAGACTCGTCGTTTCCATGCGGAAAACGGCGTACAACACCATGGAACAGGAACAGAGACACACCATCCCCGACGTTGGTGCACAAGTGTGATATTGGGATACAGAAAAACAGGACGCATCAGTCTGAAAAATTCTCAGTCCCATGCCTAGTAAGATGTACAGAGTAGAGAACCATACACACGCTTTTAACATCAGTGTCTCAATGGGTTCGGGAGAGAGCGTGCGCGAAGCCATGGTCTCGAAAAAGGTTTCTGCAGAGTCTTCGAATTTGGCACTCTGGGTCTCGGGCATGTTTCAGAACGAGGCATCAGAAATACGAAATAAGCGCGATGAACGTGGAGGTTATGAACAGCACAGAAAGAGCGTCAATAGAATATTAAGTCAGGGGACGACCCCCCGCAGGGCCGATGCACTGCAACACGAGCATGTACTGAATCGGTCGTGTGTTCGGGAAAAGCTGCAGTTCAGGGAGAATAAAACGCTGCTCACTCATGCTAGGGTATCGCAACACAATCATCGAGTCCAGCCTCCTTCAGCACGCAAGCACCATGCCGAGATAAATTTGTCGACAGTCGTAGAGCGCCTGAAACAAATTGGGGGAAGCAGCATAAGGCGGAAAAGGACATACAGTAACGACTTGATCCAATCTCGCGAAAGACAGCAGTTGCCCTTCAGCCACATCGGAAACGAGACGAGCGCTGAACATTCTCGTCGTTGTCTGGATTGGTTTTAGTACTGGACATAACACACGCGAGTCAACAGCACCACAACTCAGGCCTAAAGCAAATGGCAACATGCTAGATACACAAACCAGACTGGATGTTGGTTCACAACTGCACTCCTTGCGGTCGTGGCGCACCTCTATTTACAGCAGTGGACAGCACTACATCAGGCTACACGAGGGGTCATTGGTCGGCCCTTCGTAGTCGGCACGGGCATAAGGGTTGCCGTTGGTGTCTTCAGGATGAAAACCGCACATTTAGCTGTCTGTGCTGATCAAACACTTGACTGGTCCATTCCCGTGGTCACAGGCTAACTTACCCTGAAAATGGCAGGCAAAAAAGATGGACCCGAAGGGTCAAACCGATTGAAATCAACGACAAACAATCTGGAGCCCTCCCGCTCTTCTGCACGCTATGTGGGGTAGACTTGAAATTGCATCCCTTGGTTCTCTCTTGGAAACTCAAAAACAAAAACAGAAGGCCATCCGGGGAAGAGACGAAAAGGGCGGGCAAAAGTCGCCGAAAATGGAAGTGTACGTTGTTTAACGCGTTAGACGGCTCCTTGTCACGCCGTTCTCCTTCTCATTGAACTGGTTTGGGTAATGTTGCTGCTTTCGACGGTACGCTGCCAAAACCGTGTCCTACAGGGGGCTATGTCAACCCCGGCAATCAATTTGTGCAACGAGGCCAACAAATCGAAAACGACCTTCCGGCTGAGCGTTGGTGTTCGATGGGAATTCAGCGGAGGACATCATGGTGCGGCGACCTGTGATTTTGGCACGCCCACATCTGTTGCTGGGGCAGTGCTCTCGAAGGTTGCTGCTGGGTTCATACATCTGGGCTCATTCCATTCAATATCCACTGCTGCACGCACCGTAACAGACCCAGACTTCCTGTAGTCGCTGCCTTGGACGTTTAGCAGTTTGTTAGATTGGGTCTGTGACCGTGCATACAGCAGTGGATCGTGAATGGAATGGGCCTCGATTTGGACTCAGATTTGCGGACATTTTGGGCCTCATCTACAGCCTTCGACAGCACGCCCCCAGCATCAGATCTTGGCGTGCGAGCGCGCAGGTCGCTGTTCCATGATGCCATCTACCGATTTCCCGTAAAAGTCTTACCCAGCGCTGTTTTGCCGGGATTATGTTCTCGACCTTTCTGGCACCACCGCCACTAAAGCCCACCCCCCTTCACTTATGAAGGCACCTCCGAGTAGCTATGGTCCTGACAAGTCCTTCCCGCTGAGGAAACGAAGGGAAATGAGGGCATGTGGCGTTCTGGGTAAGCGAAACAGCGTTGGAAAAGTGTTGACCCAGTTATCAGGCGTTTTTCCGATGTGGAACTTTATCCCATATCGTCCCCGGGCAAGCGGTTTGGCGCACGTACACCTGGCGCCACCCTGGGTCTACGTGGGCTGTTGAAAGAAGACCACACAGTACTTTCACATCCTCCTCGGCGTTGTATACCAGCCTTCCGCCATTGTTTCGCAGTCTGTGCTTGTTAACAGTGTCACACGACAGGTTTACTTGGAGGAAGATCTGGTTGAACAGACGGATTTGGAGGACGCATCAGCATTTGCGCTGGGCCGTGCGACTTGAACCAAACGGTGGACACACAAGCTAGTGTCGTTGGCTTTCTGTGGCATCCACGACACTATTTAGTGGTTCGCCCCTCCTGGATGCAGATATCGGCAAGCATGAAACGTGGATCTGGGCCCTTTTTGCACTCTATTTCCAAGAGGATCTTCGCCAGGGGCTCCGCAATCCAACGACATCAAAAGGGTGGTGGTTGAGAGGAAAAAAAAAACGGAAACGATAGCGAAACAGAGGGGAGATTTGTTTGGGGCCTGGTATCATCGGACGGGGGAGGTCCGGCGTGTTGGTTAAGTCGTGCAGACACAGCCGCCATCACCAACACGGCGATCGTAACAATAAACAACCCTTGTGTCTTGCCCCTGCAGCTGGCACCTTCGAAGTGGCACCTGGGGTTAGAGCTCAATATGTTGAGATATATACCAGCAACAAAAAGCGCCAATTGAGGTGTGTAGTGTGGCCCTATTGTTTGGTGATTGTTCGCAAGGCGTTCTGATTTTCGGGGACACTGGTCAAGGACAGCAATATATACAATAAAAATCCCGGCAAAACGACACTTGCAACACACGGTATTGTGTAAGCACCCGCCGTGTCGCGTATATGTCTTGAATTTGAAACGACACTTGCAACACACGGTATTGTGTAAGCCCCCGCCGTGTCGCGTATGTGTCTTGAATTTGGAGTAGTATTTGTTTTTGTGGATTCTAGACTAAAGGTGGTTGGAGGTATGAATAGACAGCGCGGGATGCTGGCAATGACAAGTCCGAACCGCTGCTCTGTGCGGCAACTGCAGTAATTGCTCCTACGGAACACTTCCCAGCTGGTCTTTACGGATCTCGCATGATGTGTGATCGTTTTCGAAACCAGTCGATCACAAAATCGGTCGGTCTCACGACCTCGTAAAGAGCCTGTTGTCATATCGGCAAGTGAAAGATGAATTGTACATGCAACTTTACCTCTACAAAGAGCCCTCGGTCGTGGATGAATGCCTGACAACTGGCGGAAGTATTTCAGCAATGCAGCAGTGCAAGTCAAACGCACCGCGTCTGCGGTTTACTACGTGTGTTTCAGGTGCTGGAAGTCAGTGTCAAAGAAGAAAAGGCTGTGCGGGCTGCCAGGTGCAGGCGAACATGATTGGACCTGCAATACACCGAAATCTAGTCTAGCCCCCCGCAAGACAAAGTGGGCGCACACACAAGCACACCCACGCTTACCTGAGCTATCGCACGAAGGGGTGGAATCCTCGCCGCCCCTACCCTGTCAAGAGCGCCGGCTGTGTCTGTTGCCCCATCAAACCGCGCCCTGTATTCCCGACTTCGTCCAGTGCATGAAGCACTTTGTCCTTGGCGCTGCCCGATGCTTGTTGCGTGTGGGCGGGTGGGCAGTATGAAGGACGTTGCCGGCATCAAAAGCGCCAGTGACGCTGATGCCATCAAGGCCGTTGCTCCTAGCCGCATCATGGTGCCCCTACAACGCGCACAAGTTACACTCACTAAGCACACCTGCCCCACCTCGGGATAAAAAATGCGGCGGAATCAGCCCAGCGAGTGACCTGCCGAAAACCGAAAAACACAGAGAACAAGAGGTGGGAAATGGGAAAGTTGTCGGTGCCCGGTCCTCAGGTGCGTGCGTGCTTGCGTGCTTGCGCTTGCGAGATCCTGCTCGATCACCTGCCGCCATCTTCACCAGGGCCTATCCTTCCACTCTAGTTTTCATCTTGATTCAAAGATCGATCCAGCCGGAACTGGTCTATGCACTCTCTCGGCGGGGTCCTCCATCGCCACCAGCTTCCGCTGTTCCACCCCCACTTTCCTGTGGCCTTCAACATGACGTACTTGGGACTGTGGCTGTAGGTCGCTCGTGTGCCGATTGGACATGAAACGGTAGCGACCACTTTTTATGTACTCTGTGGTAACCTTGCCGGCACGTACACTGAGGGACCCGTGGGGAAAACTACACGAAACTCCCTACTGTGGCGGCCGTCGAAGCCAGGCTGCTGCTGATGCGGCTGAAGGAGTGACAAGTGGGTTCCATCGTAGATCACGCATTCCATCTTCGTTGGAAATTTCGTCGTTTGATTTACCAGCGAGATGTAACTGCGATGTGTACTCTACAATGCATTTCTCCGCTCGATGCGTAGGACTGCCTAACCCTACCTAGTGTACGGGTCGCGCGTCCGCAGGGAATGCCCGTACACGCACTGCTGCCATAGCCTATGATGGCAGGGACAGCACGGCTCCTTGGCTACCGCGGGGCCACTTCACTGTTGTTTACCTGTGGATGGACGGCAAGGCCGGCGACGGCTCAATGCACGTGAGCAACAGAGAGGCTACATATGCACGCATGCATGCGCTGCTTCTCAGTAGTCTGCACAAAGCCCTTCTACGCTAAGAGTAAGACTGCCCAACCCTATCGTAGTCTTCGAACGGAATCACGTTCCCCACCGTCCTGTCCGTGATCACATTTCTCCGTTGCGTCGATCAATTGAATAGGTTCTCCAACGCAACTTCTTCGGTCGTGACGGGAGGCAACACTCCGTACGAGAGGCTTGCCATCACACCGGATGGCCTTACGGTACGAATGCGTGAGGGGAGGAAACCTCTGTCGATGCGCAAGAACAGCGAGAGCGAGACGCAGATATCACCACTGTTGTTTTTATTCCGGCATGTCGACCCATCCAGAAGGGAGTAGCGACACCAAACCGTCAGATATGTGGGCTGAGAATATCGTGCGTGCTTTAAACAAAGGTGCAGTGATGTCAGGTGCATATGTAGGCTCGTATGCACACAGTTCTATGAAATATAGGTTGCCGGGATGAACAGGCATCATTGACCCAGCAATCCGGTAACATCAACTCCTAACCACTAACCTCTCGGTGTCATTCTGGAAATGGTATCACCATTGCCAAAACACCTCGAAAACACAGACAAGGTCATTTCAGGCTGCATGTCCCCCCCACCCGTCATCACTGCAGCTGATATCAACGGCGATCGATGAAGGGCCTCATCCAGTCTACGTGTTCAGAAGCTTCGACGTCAACCTTAAGGGCCAGCTTACTCTCGTCAGCGAATACACCTACGAATCGCAAGACGCTTCCTTGTATGCGTCTCCTGTCACGACAAGCCTGGATGGAATCAACGTATACGTCGTATTGCCAGTGCTGTCGGTGAGAAAGGTCCGGTGACCTCGGGGTACTGTTGGTCTCGAAGTCGTTGACACTGTTCCCTCTCCTGCGTGAGGAAAAATCTGACTAAATAGATGTCGCTGGTGTTGGCCTCGAGTAGGACGCCCCCCCATGCTACGTGAATGATAATGTATCAGCTTGCTGCGAGATTACGCTGAACTGGCGAATCAGGTAGGAGTGCGCAGTAACAGGTTTCTGGTGAACACCAAGCATCGAACTTCGATCTACTGCTGTAAATTCCAACGTATGCTGTGGGGGCGTTAGAGGCTGACATTCACCCCGACTGTGTAGACTCTCCCCCCCCAAGCTGATGGAGCTCTCCAAGAACATCGCATCCTCCCCCCGCGTCGTTTTGGTTGCCGTCCGAATCAACGTGCCATCACAATGCGGCCGGCGCGTTTGACCGGGAATCATCATGACCGGGGTGTGTTGGCCGTTGCCCCGCACTGCTCCCGCTTCAAGGAAATATATTCGTTCGAAACATCGGATATCTCCAGGTCAGTAGCTTGGTCATATCTGGATACATAGGTAGAACGTGTCACGTCGGAGAGTCGATTCGGTCCCCAAACGTTCGTGATGATGTCCTTCGCACGGGTACAAGACATTTGGAGCATTTGCGTCGATTCATGGTAGGAGCAGTGTGCTCGACGCACATTGGGCATTGCTTTTGAGCCGTGGTCCTTAAAGTAGGAAACTCTATTGAGGCCAAATTTGTCATTATCAACCGCAGAGGGCAGGGGCTTCTTGCTAGCATGCACGGTGCGTGCGCTCGCCAACGATCGAGATTGTAGAACTCACGAAGCCAATACGCGACACCAGGAAACACAATGCCCAATATTCTTGCGAATGACTCATCGGCCGTATACATCCCTAGGACTTCAAAATGGCTTCTTTCTGATTCGACAGTCGACAACGTTCCGTGCGGTCATTTCTTGAGGCGCTCTTCCAGTATTGTCACTGCAACAACATCAGCGAGGCTAACTGCAACACCATCACACGCAGCAAAAAACAAGCACTAACCCTACCTATCTTGTACTACCAAACCCACCCATTTTTTTTGTTCCTCGGCTAGTGATATCAACAAGGACAGCATAGGTGAAGGTGCCGACTTCCTCTACCTGGGCATGACATCCAGCGATACTCTAGTTGTGAGTGGCGCGGAATAAGCTGTACAATACTATGCAGCGGCCAAATGCTAACGGACGTTCTCCTACCGATAAATACGTGCACCGTCGTCTGGATTGCTATAGCCATCGCACGACACGGTTGGCCATTGCCTGTCTTGCCCATGCAACCCACAATCAAGTACCCGTGTTTGAAGCAGGTCATGCGACCACAGTTGTGTCGTTTTGATTAACCTCTTGCGAAACCGAGGGCACTCTCTGCAGTAGTCCAGCCACTGAACACATGGGAAGTATTTAACATGTGTTGAAGTTGATGGCTGTCCGTCTTTCGACCATGCTCCAGGTTGCCGTGGACGGAGGTGCAATTTACCGGTTCAACCGTAGGACCAACGGGCATCTGGAATATTTTGATCAAGTATCCGAGACTTACATTACCGCCGCCACTTCCGATCCTACAGGGGACTACGTGGTATAGTATGGCATGACTGCTTTGCTATCATTAGTTCATTGTTCATGCACTTCGGGATAAGCCCTGGTGGTCTTCCTGCTCAAGTGAACTTGTAGGTCGCTGGTATTCGTGGTAGTTTGAAAGCCTACCTTACACGGGATTCTTGGATGTCTGGTAAGGTGAAACCGAGGTCAGCAAATTCATGCATGCCCTAACCCTACAAGCAGCTGGCTATGTTGTGTTGATCGTGCCCTGGTCATGCGCTCGCCGATGCAGGTGCTCGTGTCGTCGTACTGGGTCGTGAAGGTGTTCAACGTCGGCGCTAGCGTGTATCAAGATGAACTGACCGGGTCCATTCAATTGGTCAACATCCCAACAAAGATACATGAGCCTTCGTACATCGCGGTGTCGCCGACCTCAGTAGGGGTGAGGTTCAGGCAGAGATTGGCGGGGTGATGTCGGGTTCTCGCAGGCTTTCGCTCGGAATCGTTCCGTTCGTCACCAGCTGACCATTGGTAAAAATGGCTTGACCCGCGGTCTTAGTTCGCACTTTTTTCATGTAGTTGATCTATCTTCTCGGCGCCTCCACTGACTGTTCATTTGTGATCACGACCACCACCTTGTTCACCCATCCAGGTCTACATAGAGGGCATCGGCGGTAAGGTCGTGATGTTGGACAGCTCGAATGACGGCGGCACGCTACTGCTCGGGAATCTGTCCAGCGACGAAGTTGAGCCTGCGAACTACACGTCTGTCGCAATCAGCCCGAACGGCACGGTAAGAAGGGACCTACTTAGGCCCCCCCTTCTTCTCCTTGGGTAGGGCTGTGCTGTCTTCAGCACACACCTACTTTTGCATCAATGTCTACGTACGTTCGGGCGAGGGTAAGTGTAGTATGTGTTGCTGTCTTGTAGGACGCGTCCATCTTGCCCCTGGGTAGTGTAGCTGCTTACATGATGACTGCTGTATCTTGGGAGTGTACGATTGCATATTTGGAGATGCAGCATTCCATGGTATACTGGCTTTTGGCTGGGCTTGGAACACTCCTTTTCCAGCCCTCCGCTCTATGCATCAGTGGCTTCCTACATTCGGACGAGGTCATGTAGCGCGGAGATGTGATGTCTGTCTCTGTAAAAGTATAAGTATTTGAGAGATTGATTGCGGCAATCGCATATGGCGCATTGCGCATTTCTCGAACTTTGGCACCCTTCCAAGGACCTTGATTTTGCCCGCTGGTACTGACGTCTTGTCAATGGTGACCGGATGTCGCGATCGATGCCAACACCAGCATCTGTCAACTCCTGGCGTGGAGGGAGACAGGGAGGCAACTCAAGTCTTGCCACCACACCAACATCCGCACCTGATCTATCAATGATTTGTCACTACGCCTAAAGACTGGTGTCTGTGTACGCCTTGTTGGATGCCTCTCTGCAAAACCCTCTGCGCAGATCTTTTACGGGCTTAACCAAGCCACTGGGGATCTGTTCCAGCACGCTAGGGCTCCGGATGGTGACCTGTGAGTGGCAAATTTGCATCTAGCACGTCTGACATTTTTGTAGGGATTTGGTGTCGAGCACTGCTGCACTCCCAACACTAGCACGTTTCTCCCATTGACTGTGATCTCTTCCTTTTCCACCTCGTTCCTTTGACGGGATTCATGCAGTGGGTTCGCGGTATGCAGCGTCGCCACAGCCGAACCGGACGCGTATAATAGATTGCTGCCGTCACCGGATGGAAACCACATTTTCGTGAGTGACACATGAAAAATTTCGGCGCATCATTTTCGAGTGTGGTGGGAATCTTCGAGCAGCCTTCCCATGTGGAGGTGCCCGCGGATCAACTAGCCCCCGACATGACATAACGACACGTTTGACGGCATGACGGTGAAACCGGGAAGCAATTTTACCACTCGTTGCAAAAAACACAAACATGCAGTAGGGGCAATCGTTGGAGCTACCTACCCTTCCGCAGCCTGCCGTGGCGGTTCTTACATGTGGAGTGTTTCTTGTTCCAGTTCTG